ATAAGCGAGGGAGTTTCTCAGGGGCGCCTGTTGTCGGCCAGCTGCGATTAGATCCTCGAGCCCCAACGCCAGTTTAATCGCAGCGCCGGGGCTTGTCAGACGCAAGGGGGGGCGGGGGGGGCGGTGCGGAAGGGGGGGGCCTTTCGCCCCCGTGGACATGGCGCGTTTTTCTCCTGGCATTTAAACGACGATTGACAAGTTCCTGGCTCGCGCGTGCTGTGCTCGAGCCTGCGAGGGCGCGTGGGCCGATCTGTCTTGGGCCCATCGCCCCCGCCGCCCTGCTGTTCATCATCGACGTGAAGGTTGACGCCGTAAGATGCCATGGGCTCGCGCGCGGGCCCCATTAGAAGCAGCCTATTAATTTGGATGGGGCAGTGATCGCCCCCCCTTGGATCCGCCGGGGGGCTGGGCGCGCGCTGCCCGGAGCAGGCGGAGGGGGGGGTGGAGGAAGAAGGGGGGGGGGTCGGGGGAAGGCGGGGGCGGAGGGGTGCGGGATTGGGCAGGCTCAGTCAGGAGTCCACTCCCCCCCCCCCCCCTGATATATGGCCGATCCAGAGTAGCCTTCCCGCAGGGCCGACCCCCCCGTCGGCCTCGGGGCCGGGGCGCGGCGCGCTCGGCGGGGCCCCGTTGGCCTCGGAGCGGTGGCGTTCGCGCGCTCGGTGGCCGAGGGGCTGCGGCGGGGGGAGCTGCGCCCGCGCCCGTATGGGGCGGGGCGGCGGCGCGCGCGCTCCTCGCCGGGCCCCCCGCGCTCGTCTGCCCGGCGCCTGCGCGCGCGAGTTTGGATCTTCTGCGGGGGCGCAAGTCAAGCGCCGAGGGCTTGCCCAGCGGTCGTTGTAAGCAGGTATTTCTGGGGCCTCAGACCCCAATCTTCCTCGTGCGCCTTCCTACTTCAACGATCGAGTGGCCTCGCCTATTTCGCCCGTTCTAGGGGGCGGGCGGGCGCCCGATCTATTTTCGACGCTTCATGTTTCCACTAACTTCATCCGACCGATGAGCGGGGGGCAGCCGGTTCCGATTCGCGCCGCCCCCAGGGGCCAGTGCCCAAGTGCGCAATCATGGGTGGATTTGGCTCTTTCGGCGCTTGTCCGAAACCGCCGTGCCTCGGCGAGGCCCCGGCGCGCTGCCGGCGTTCCCGATTTCATCGGCCACGTGGAAGTCGAGCGCCTCGGCGAGGATTTCGGACTCCAACCCAGCAGCTCGCAGGACTCTCTTACACCGGCGAAGGACTCAGCACGCGCTCAAGCGCCGCCGCGGCGCAGTCGCGCACTTTGATTCTATGGCGACGCCCGCTCGCTGAGCAATCCAGCCGGCGCAGCGAGCGCCAGGGGCGTTCGCCGCCTCGGCACGATGACGCGTTGGAGGCAACGCGGGCCATCGGCGTGGGGCGCCAGGACAGTTGGGATCAACGCCAGGAGATGGCTGTGCATGATGGGGGGGGGGGGGGGGGGGGGGGGCATCTCATTGCGCCGCGGTCGTCCAGGCACGCCCTGGAGCGTCGGGCAAGCATCCCAAGCGCCTTCGGAGGCAAGGCGGCGGGGGGCCAGCCACGTCGCGGAACGGCCCGCGAGCCCCGCCCGATGCTTGCGCGCCTGACCGCGACCATTTGCCGAGGCCCATCGGCGGCCGAGATCGGCGGCGGTTCGGGCGGTCTCTCGCGTTCTACTTTCGAGAGCGACGGCTGGGCCCGATCTCGGATGTTGCGCATGATGCGTTCGGAGCCGCGGCCCAGGCCATCGAGCCCCTGGGCCTCGCCCCCAAGCGTCACTGTGGCCCCCCTCCCCCTTGCTCGAAAACACAGAGGGCGTTCGCGTGCGATCCTGCGTTGCTGCAACGCCAGGCGCCCTCGCGCGCGTGGCCCTTCGGGCGGGGCGGGGGCGCCAAGCAGAGGGCCCTCGAGCACGACGTCGGCCCTGCCGCTGTTAGAACCGCGTGAAACTGTTCGCGAGGATCTCGGCCGATTCGGCAACGGGCCCCGCGTGGGCCGCCGCCCTGTCGGGCCCCCATCGCCGGAGATGCGCGCCACTTTGCGCGCGCGCGGATTTGCAGCGCAGGTGCCCTCTGCGAGCTCGTGCCCGGGAACGTCGACAAAACGCTGCTCGCCATGCGTTGGCGACGACAGTCGCGCCGCTGCAGGCGATGGGCAGCCGTCGCTGGTCACCGCGGCCCGCGCCGCTGCCGGCCCTGTATCCCGGTTTCCGCGACGAGCTCGAGATCGCGATCCATGCCGACGCGGTCAGCGCCAGGGGCGGCGGCCGTCCTCTCGCCGAGAAGATTGGCCAGCTAAGGGCGTTTTACCGGCCGCGCTGCCAATGGCGCTGAGGGCGCCATGCTGACCCCGGCCCAGAGTCGCGGCGCACCGCGCGCCCTCGGGAAGAGCGGGGGCTGCTTCAAGACCGCCCGCCGCCGACGTCGGGCGCCCCAGCGTTGCCGCGGCGCGCCCCCGAAGTGACTGGAACTCCGCTATAGACCAATATTTGCATCTGCGGCGGTCGGGATCAGTCGTTTCGAGCTCAGCCGGGCTCGTCGGATTTTATTGTCTTGTAGAACCTTTCTGCATCCGGACTGCCCCCGCCCAGGCGCGCCCGGCGCTTCTCGGGGGCCCGATGTGGGGCCCCCCGCGGCCCCTGCCCTCTACTGGGCTTGGATTGTTTGGGCGGCTCCGATTTCTCGCGCGGCGCGATCTCTCGCGCGCCTTCAGTTTGACCTGCGCCGGGCGGACGCCCGCTTCGCCCCTGAGTTCCCGGAGTGACGGCAGGCGCGAGGTCCACCTTGGACGCGTCGCCATCCGTGGTTGCACTCGCCTGCCCGACCTATCCGCCCGGCGAGATCACGCGACGGCTCTCGCCGAGGGCTCGCTTAGATTCCACGGCTCTCGCGTCAACGCGGGCCCCCAATCGGCGCCCCCGGTCCGAAGAATAGGAGCCCCCGCCACAGCGCGAGAAATATCTTGCTTTCGCGAGCTTGTTGTCCAAAGGCATGTGGGCCCGAGCGCGGGCGCGATCGCTGCAAGATCAGCGCGACTGCATTTGCCCACTTCGCAGGCTACCTGGCAGCGCGAGGCATCGAGTTTCTGACGCGATTGCGCCCGACGGCCGCCCGAACCCGCAGCGCGGTGCTGACCGATCAGCCATCCGAGGTTCGCTCAGATCCTGGACAACGAAACCGCCACCTGCGCGATGTCTTCGTGCAGGTGGGCGGCTCTGACTACAGTGGAGGCCCGCTTGCCTCCAGGGTGCCCTGGTTTTCTTGGGTTTGGATGGTTTTGCGATGGAGAGCGCGACGGCCCCGCGCCAAAAGTCATTGGACGCCCTGGGGGTTCAGGGTTGGGTTTCTTGTGGAAGTTCCCATGTTGTCGGGCCCTCATTGTAAGTCACGGTCGCAGCCTGCACGATGACATCGCAGACTGCACGATGACACCCCGAGCCCAGCTTCCCGCGCCCCTCGGAAAACCTGAACACTACCCCTTTTCGGCGCGGTGGGCGCTCCAGTGGAATGGGGGGCGATCGATCTTCGCGGCCTGGGCGCGGCCGTTGCCGGCTCGGCCCAGAGGCGTGTGATTCGCGAGGTTTCCCATGCTGCGTCTTCCTGGGTATTCCTGGGCCTCGGGGTCGACGAAATCATTGCCTCGGCTAGACGCGCCGCCCTCGACGCGCTCCCCCTTGCGTCCCAGGCAGCCGATCATCAGGCTATGGCTGTGCTACCCATGTCACAAGGTCTTAGAGGCTCACGGTTTGGCGACATCACGCAGATCATCAAGTCACGCAAGTCGTCCGATGGCCAAAACGTTTTACGTGCGCATCGTTCTGCAGGTCTTCGGCGTAGAGCGCTGCTGTGAGAGGAGCAGCCACCGCCGTGCGCATGAATAAGTTCCTGCACATATTGACCAGCTTTTTGTCTTCGGGGGGAGACGGATTGGAACCGCTAGCTGGAATGCTGATGCCCGGGCCAACTGACCAAATGTGTTCTCTTCGACCACCCTCGACCTTGCCTCCTGACGCGCACGAGGTGGACAGGCGATATGGTTTCCCCAAAGAGATTACCACAGTCATTGGGAAGTATTGAGCGTCTCCCTCCACACAGGAATCAGATTGGGCGCGTGTGGGTGACAGATCCGACGTTCTAAAATCGGGAGGCTGGCACCACTGGGGGGAGTCAGTCAGTGGGCTGGTTCGAAGCATGCGTTCCTTCTGAAACTCGAGGGACTCCGCGGACAGGCCCATGTCAGGATGTCGAGGCCCCAGTGGTACTTAGAAATAAGCTGTGAATTTTCAACGGGACATCGTTTTGCTATCGCGTTGCACTTTGCTTTGCGGTGTGCGCGGTGCGTATACGTCTTCTGGGTGACACCTTCTTTTCGGCAAGGAGCGCCAGCAGCGCAAGCTGGCAGGTGCTCAGACAACGTTTCGACGGATTGCTGCAGGCATGTAGCCGCACTACCATGATCACTTCACGGTCATTTCGTCCTTTCGCCGAGGAGCTTCGTATTTGCACCATGCCGCACGGTTGCCGCCTCCACCTCATGTCAGTTTGCCCGTTACAGGTGCCATCGGTCTAGTCCAGACCGAGTGCCATCGGTCTAGTCCAGACCGAGGGCATGACGGCTGTAGCGGCGAGAATTCAAGCCCGAGAAAACGCAGCGGCGGCAAGACCCACTGCTGCTCTTCCAAGTGGTGCTTATCGGTGAGGGCCGCGAGGCGATTCGCACTGCAACACTGTTGACACAGACCGTTCAGGCCCTACGTGTTCTTCCTATCTCCTGTTTCCTGTTCGCTGTTCCTCCTCCTCCTCCTCCTCGCCCTCGTCCTCGCCTTCCCCCTCCGCCTCCTCCTCCTCCTCCTTCTCTTTTTCTTCCTCCTCCTCCTCCTATTCCTCCTCCTCCTCTTTTCCTTCCTCCTCCTCCTCCTCCTCCTCCTCCTCCTCCTCCTCTTCCTCCCCTTCCTCCGCCTCTGCCCCGCCTCGGCCGCGGGGCGGGGGGGGGGGAGCGGGGCGCCGCGCACCAGGCGTGCTGCCCCCCACGCCGGAGCTGGCCGTCAGTAGCGCCAAGGCGTCGCTCTGCCCCGAGGCCCTTTCGGGCTGCTCGCGGCCGTCGCCGTCGCCGCCGCTCGTCGTCTCCACCGCCGTCGTCACCGCCGCCGCCGATGCCGCCGACAGAACCACCCGGGATGGGCAGCGGGCCCTTGGGAAAGCCTGGGCCCGTGGCCTTCTTTGTGGCCCCCCCCCCTGTCGCGCATGGCAAGCAGCCTTCGCTATGATGCGGCGCCCGACGGGGCCCCGAGCATTCCAGGCAGCATGCTCGCACGGCGCCCAGCTTCCCGTCCTGACTGGCTGCCGTGCCGCACGAGCTTTGGCAGTATCGGTGCTCCGCGCGCGGAGCGAGTCCAACGCCTCCGGAATCTTGGAACCGCGCGGGCGAACGGGGGACATTCCCCCGAGAACGCGCCTCGGTGTCTACAGCAGGGACGTGGTATTCGACACCGGCCAGCCAGCAGTTGCCCCACGGACATTTCTTGTCCCGTGATTGGCCAGGAGGAGGAGGAGGCGGAGGCGGAGGCGGAGGAGGAGGCGGAGGAGGAAGATGATGATGAGGAGGAGAAGCCACAGAAGCTGCGGGGCACCTTAGGGTTTTCACAGATCGACGAAGAATGTGCCCCAGTATCTCTCATGGCAAGACCCATTATCGTGTGTGTGCCTACTGCACGTGACTCAAACAGTCCAGAGCCTCGCCCGGAGCAGGAGGCGTCGGAACGCCCGCGTCGGCATCCCCTGCGCCAGCTCGACGCCACCCTGTGGGAGGGGACACGCGGACACGCAGCGGCGTGAGGAGCCGGTGCGCCACCGAGCCAGCCGCCAGAGGCCGCAGCGCGCCTCGCACCCGCCCGCCGCGCTCCCCCGCCTGCCCGCCCTGCCTCCTCCTCCTCCTCGCCTGCCCGCCCTCCTCGCCTCCTCCTCCTCCTCCTCCTCCTCGCCTCGCGCGCCTCCTCCTCCCCGCCTCCTCCCTCCTCCTCCTCCTCCTCTCCTCCTCCTCCTCCTTCCTCCTCCTCTCCTCCTGCGCCTGCCCGCCTCCTCGCCTCCTCCTCCTCCTCCTCCTCCTCCTCCTCTCCTCTCCTCCTCCTCCTCTCCTCTCCTCCTCCTCCTCCTCCTCCTCCTCCTCCTCCTCCTCCTCCTCCTCCTCCTCCTCCTCCTCCCCCTCCTCTTCCTCCTCGCCTTCTAGCGCGCCTCCTTCTCCTCCTCCTCCTCCGCCTCCTCCTCCTCCTCCTCCTCCTCCTCCTCCTCGCCTCGCGCGCCTCCTCCTCCTCACCTGCCCTGCCCTGCCTGCCGAGGTCGAGGATGACGGCCTCGACGCCGAGGCCGTCAGCCTGGAGTTCCGGCGCAGATGCCTCCAGGTGCACCCGCAGCGCGAGCTGGGCAGGCTCCCCCCCCGCCCCGGCGGCTTCTCTGTCGGAAGCCGGGCGTGGCCTCGGGCACTGCAGCACAGGACGAGCTGGGGGATCGACGTGGCGGTGTCAGCATGGAGGATCGGAGGGGGAGCGGTCGTCGTCCCGTTGTCTTCGTCTCCAGGTTTCCCGACTTTTTCGTCGGTTCTGGGAGGTTTTCCGCTCTCGGGATGCTTTCATGCAGCTGCACCTTGCCGAGGACCTCACGTGGGTGACAGGCAATCGTCCCGAACAGCCGCGGGAGGCCCGAGTTATGTGCGGCAGGCCAGACCTCCTCGCGCCCTGTTCGGCCTCCCCGAGGCGCCCTGACAGCCGGGCCCGAGGACCGTCAGCGAACGCTGCAGGATGAAAAGCCGGTGCCGGGTCAGCTGTGGAGACCTCCTGGGGTCCACGCTGTGAACAAAGGGCGGAGTCGGAGGTCTGGAGAGGCGAAGGGGGAGGAGGATGTCTCGGAGGTTCGAGTTGTTCTCGCGGCTCCTGGGGTCCCATGTGCTCCTAGGGTTAAGTCGGGCCTGTCCCTCTACAGGAGGAATATTCAAGAATAGTCAAACAATAGTCTGGGTACTCTATTTCGCCTAGGTTTGGATATTTTTGCTGATTTTTGTTGATCGTCCAAAAGCCGCCTGTAGGAGGACATGCCCGACCTAATTCTAGGGGCGCGGGAGGGGGGGCGTGGTGTGCAGGAGGGGCGAGGGGGAGAGGGGGAAAGCGGGGAGGAGCGGAGAGGAGGGAGAGATGACAGGGCAGGGGGGGAGGAGGGAGATAGGAGAGGGGAGGAGGAGGGGGGAACGGGGAAGAGCGAGGATCGGTCGGGGGGAGACGAATAGGAGGGCGGAGACGAGGCCAGAGGGCGGAAGGGGAGGAGGCATGAGGGGAGAGGGGGGGGAGGGGCGTGGGAGGGGGCGGGGGAGGGGAGGCGCCCCCGAGGAACGGGGAGGGTGGAAGTGGGAGGGGGGAATGACTGGTGGGGGAGGGGGGAGGTCCTGAGGGAGGAGGAGGAGGAGGAAGAGGAAGAGGAGGAGAAGGAGGAGGAGGAGGAGGAGGAAGAGGAGGAGGAGGAGGAGGAGGAGGAGGTGTAGTCCCCGTCGCCTCCCCACGCCCCTCATCCCTCCTCACTGCATGCCTCCGTCCCCGCCTCCTCGCCCACTTCCGCCTCCCCTCTCCCCAGCAGGAGAGAGGATGAATGAGGGGAGAGGGGAGGTTGGGACAACCTCGAGATGAGCTGGGCAGTCAGAATATAACGTAGGCTCAGACATTGACCGACGCCACCGAGACGCGTTGAGGTGTCAAGGACGCTTGCTGTCAATTAGTAGCTCATCCGAAGCATTTGCTGAGAGAGGTGACTGCTCAACCCTTGCAGTCAGAACGAGCCAACGGTCTGATGCTCCGAGTGCTCAGTGCGAGATTGCAGATGCTGTTGTCCATGCGGGATGTTGAAGAGTTCCAGTATTTCAAAAGCCGATGCTCGCGATGCTGGCCAGCTCGTGATCCTGTTTCAAGTTGGGCTCGACTGCGGGCCAGGGGGGCATGCTAACCGATCTGCCCACAAGCTTCGATCAGTGCAGCACAGCGCTTACAGTACAGTGGGCACATCGTATAAGACATCAGCCTGAGGACCAGCGCATCGCGATAAGTTTTGCATATTTCGTTGCTAGCAGGGCCCTGGGACTCATTACAAAATTCAGGGTCTGCGAGAGTTTTGCCACTAGACTGCCTAAACAGTGCTCGCACCAAGAGGTCGTACGTCTTTTCTTAGGAGCAGGGCCTTCCTGTCGATCTGGCGGCTATGTGGTCGCCGTCGCCGCCCCGATGCCTTCTGGGCAGGCGAGTTGTTTGCATTGCTTTGCATAAATGTGAATTGCATTCCATTGATGTGCATTGGTTTCTTTGCTCTGGTTCGCACTGTTTTACATGAATGCCCATACCTTGCATTGATTTGCGTTGCACTGCTGTGGATTGCTTTGCGTTAATGTGCAGTGCATTGTGTTGCATTGCTTTGTGTTGCTTTGCGTTGCTTGGCATTGAGTTGCATGGCTGTTCATTGTTTTGCACTGGCTAGAACAACTTTGCGCTGCATTTCTTTGCATCGCTTTGCATTGTATTGCATTGCTTTGAGTTGCTCTGCGTTGCGTTGCGTTGCGTTGCGTTCTGTGGCTTCGCATTGTTTACATTTTTTCGCATAGCTTTACACTGCTGTGTACCACATACATTACACCATATGTATTGCACCATCTAGATTGCGCCACATTGATCGCACCATCTAAACTGCACCGCATGCCTGATCCAGGGTTGCCCCATCCCCCCTACCCCCCACTGCATATGGGGTCGAGTCCCCCGCTGGATGGGTACGCCCGTGAACCTCGCGAAGGCCTCGCGAATGGGTTCGCTCCCACCCAATGTGGTCGTGGCCCTGTGGGCGTGGCGTGGTGGAGGGTGCCGGGGTGTGGGGTGGTTCGTCGTCGTCGCCGTCCGTCGGCGTCGGCGTTGTCGGCGTCGGCGTCGGCACCGGCGTCGGCGGCGGCGGCGTCGGCGTTGGCGTTGGCGTCCTCGTCGGCGTCGGCGTCGGCGTCGTCAACGTCGTCGGAGTCGGAGTCGGCGTCGGCGTCGGCGTCGGCATCGTCGTCCTCCCCCCATCTCATCTGGGGATGGGCCTGTTGAACCCTGGACCCATCCCATCTGGGTGGGGGTCCTGTGAATCCTCGACCCGGGATCACCTAGTGCGAGAAATCATTGTTCGGGGGTTCACGCTGGCCAGCATTCCCTCGAGCACGATGTCCTCTCCGATGTGCCTGCTGCACGTCCTGCCTCTCAGTGTACAGCAGCCACTGCGAGGTGAACTTCACTATCGGCGCTGGTATTCCCTTGGGGGTCGAGCCCGGCTCAGTCCAGCTGCAGTTGGTGCGCACTCGGAGCTCCTATCGGACGCAGCGGCCCCCCCCCACTCGTGCTCCGACTTGTCCCGAGGAGCGTGCCCGTGGAGACGCTCCCAGGAGTAGCCTCTCTGGCAACGCTCCGCGACCGCATCGCGCTCCCGCGCCCCCGCCCCCAATCTCAGGCAGCCCCTCCCGAGGTTCGGCGGCCAGCGAGGGGGGGGGGGAAGCGAGAAGCAAAACAGACCCTCAGAAAGCGGCGGGGCTTCTCAGAGGCCCTCGCGCCTTCTGAGAGATTTGTTGCGTCTCCGGGGGAAGATCCGGAAACCTCTCAGGAGGCCGAGGGGCTTCCGAACCTTCTGAGACTTAAGGCTTGCTCCTCTTTCTCACTTCCCCCCCTCGGTCGCCGCCGAGAGGTGGCCAGCTGACGTCGCCCGACCATCAGCCCCCCCCCGCTTGACAGACGAGCCACAACTATGAGACCTTTAGCCCCCCTTGGGGGGGCCGTCGGATTCGACGCCTAGCTCGAGGGATCGTCAATATCATGTGCTCCCCCATGGGTGTGTGTATATATGTATATATGTATATATATATATACAAGACTGCGTTGGCGCTTCGCGCCATGCGCCTTGTTTCGGCCGCTTCCCCGGCAAAACAATAAATCATCGCTTGCTTCAGCAGGGGGGGCCTCGAGGCCTGGACGGGTGATCGGCTCGTTTTTCTGAAATCCCTGGTGCTTGCTGACACCGCGCTCGCCGGAAGCTAGATGTTTTTTTCACGCGCGAAGGTGCTGACAAACGACGAAGCATCCAACTGTTGCGATGGCGCCTGTCCGTGAACGGGGAACGGGAAGGGAGCAGGGATGAGGGGGGGACTGAAGAGGCGAAAGGGCCGAGGAGGGGCGGAGAGACGGGGCGACGGTCCAGAGGAAGGAGCGGGCAAATGAGGATGGCCATCGGGTGCAACGAACTTGGAGGTCGGCGAAAAGTCATAGGGGGGAAGGGGGATAGAGAGAGAGAGAGAAACAGAAACAAAAAAGAGAAAGAGAGAGGGAGAGAGAGAAAGGGAGAGAGAGAGAGAGAGGGAGAGAGAGAGAGAGAGAGAGAAAGAGAGACAACGAGTGCATTGATAACGCCGTCTGGGCGTTTTGGAGGCTCTTTTGGGCCGTCCTGGGGCCCTCTTGGGTTGTCCTGGCGCCTTTTTGGGCCGTCTTGGGGAGCTGGGGCCCTCCAGAGGTCTTCTGAAACCATTTAGGGCCCTGTTGGGGGTCTCCAGTGGCCTTCTTGGGGGTCTCCCATGGCTTTCGTGTGTGTTTCTTGGGAGCCTTCTGGGGGCATCTTGGGCTTCTTGTGGGCAATCTCGGGGCTCTCTCGAGCAGTCTTGGGGCCCTCTCGGGCCGTCTTAAACCCTCTGGGGGGCCTCTTGGGCCGTCTTGGGCCGATATCGAAGACCCATCGGGCCGTCTTGAACGCTGCGAAGACGAAAAAACTGACATGTTGAATTTATACACTTCTCTAGGGAATGGGACGACTTGTGCTTCTTTGGGGCTTTCTTAACGACCTCTTGGGGCCTCGTGGACCGTCTCCGGACCATCGAGGTTCCTCTTGGAGCGCTCTCGTGCTGTCTTGTGTCCCTCTTGCGCTTTTCCGATGACCCCTCTGATCGCTTTGAATATGCCCGCAAGGCCCTGCACGCCGCCCTGGGAGGCCCAGAAGGGCCAGCGGACCTTTTCCAAGGGCGTCCCAGGGGCCGCCAAGACGTCCGAAAGGGTGTCCAGGGCATCCTTGGGGGGGGTCTGGTTTTGGGGGAGGGGGTGGGGGGGGTTCCGGGTTTCAAAAAAAATGGGTAGGAATATGCTCTAGGCCTCTTACGTAGGGTCGGACTGAATGGGGCGGAGGATCGCGCCGCATCGCCGATGTATCGACGATGCGGCTCGATGTCAGGTGTCCCCACGCCGACGTCGCCGATGCATCGCCGACGTCGCCGATCCTGCGGCCCCATCTACTCGGTTCCCATCCAGGAAGCCTCTGTAAAGCAGTCGATCTGCATGTGTATATATATATATATATATATATGAGGAACACAGCTCCCCCAGCTGTGGCTGCTCCGCTTGTTCCCGCCCGCCCGCCCGGCCCCTCGCTCGAGGGCCTGCGGCCGGCCGGCCGGGCCGCGCGAGCGTAGCCCAGCAGCAACGTTGAAGCAGTGGCGAAGCGTCCCGGCTCGTTGATGTTCTGAGAGCAGTGCTTCTGTTCTTAGAACATCATTTTTGGGCTCTAAGAACATCTCGTGGTATGACTATAGGAATGCCGGGACGGTCGGCCCCTGCTCAATGGATCTTCTGCGGGGGCGCAGGTCAAGCGCCGAGGGCTTGCCCGTCGGTCGTTGCAAGCAGGTATGTCTGGAGCCCCAGACTCCAATCTTCCTCGAGCGCCTTCTTCCTACTTCGACGATCGAGTGGCCTCGCCTATTTCGCCCTCTCTAGGGGGCGGGCGGGTGCCCTCTCTAGGGGGCGGGCGGGCGTGGTATGATTATAAACGGTGAGTGCTGGGGCGGTCGGCCCCTGCGCAAAGCGCAGCGCAGAAGACGTGCCGCGCGCCCAGCCTGGACTCCTACCTGCGCGTGCGCTGCCACCTCGAGGCGCGGCCCCCCCGCCCCGCGGGCGGCCCCCGCCCTCGGCCGGCCGCCCGCCCCGCGGGCGGGAGGGCGGGATCGGACGTGCTGGACTTTGCGGGAGGGGGGAGGGCGGGAGGGCGGGAGGGCGGGAGGGCGGGGGGAGGGAGGAGGGAGGCAGGGAGGGAGGGAGGGAGGGAGGGAGGAGGAGGAGGGAGGAGGAGGAGAGGAGGAGGAGAGGAGCAGGAGGAGCAGGAGGAGAGGAGGAGGAGGAGGAGGAGGAGGAGGAGGAGGAGGGGAGCGGAGGAGGGAGAGAGGAGGAGGAGGAAGCATAAGAAGAAGAAGAATACAATACTAATAAGAAGAGAAAAATAATAAGAATAAGCGGAGGAGTGGAGAAGAGGAGGAGGAGGAGGAGGAGGAGACGGAGGGGAAGAGGAGGAGGAGGAGGAGGAGGAGGAGGAGGAGGAGAGGAGGAGGAGGAGGAGGAGGGGGAGGAGGAGGAGGGGGAGGAGGAGGAGGAGGAGGAGGAGGAGGAGGAGCGGAGGAAGAAGGAGGAGGGAGGAGGAGGAGGAGGAGGAGGAGGGAGGAGGAGGAGGAGGAGGAGGAGGAGGAGGAGGCGCGGGATCTCGTCGTCGCCGATTTTGGTCGTGGTCCCTGTCGGCCGTCGCCGATTCGCGAGGATATTCCACGAATGGACGGTGACCGAACTCGGCGATGACCAAGGTCGACTCCGACGCTTCCGTATCCGCTCTTGGTTATGGTCACCGTTTTCTGTCCATCCTTCATCCTGCCCTCGTCTCAGCCGTCTGATGCCCCCCCCGTCTTGACCGTCTCGGGGCACCCCCTCAGGGCACGGTTTGCCAAACGGCGTCGTGAAGAGCCCTAGACCTGGACAGTGGCACTGGCCGGGATCTCATCGCGGCGAGGACTCTGCAGTTGTCACGTAAGACGTAAGGGTGACCTTTCGCCAGAGTGACCTTCGGTGCGGGCACAATGGGGTCCCCCGATCACCGATTGCGATGCGATAGTACCGTCTTGCGCGCCTGAGTTTGTTCCCCCCGCGGCCCCCAAAAGCCGCGCACCAAAGGTCGCTCTTACCCAGGGTCACTCTTGCGTGTAGCCGAAGTTGTGCTCAGCGCCGGTGGCCATCCCGCTCGCTCGGCTCGCCCGCCGACTGGTGCTGTCAGGGGAGAGCGACCCCCCCCCCCCCCAAGAGGTGGTGCGCCAGTCCCTCCTCGTGGCCAGCGCGCCGCTGGCCTACCCGGGCCCGCCGCAGCAGCCCGTCGGCGCGGAGGCGCCGCGCGCGCGCGTGCGCCCGCGCGCGCTCGGCGGGCGGCCCCCTCGCCGCGGGCCGAGCGCTCCGTCGCTCGTCGGCCTCGCCTCGTCGCCGCCGCCGCCGCGGACGCGTCGGCAGCGCCGGCGCGGCCACGGGCTCCAGATCGGCGGCTCTGGTCGGCGATCATCACCGTGATATGTTCAGCATTGCTGTCAGGTTTGGATCACCATAGTCATGATCATATGGAAGCGTTGTGAATCGTCGCCATCAGTATGTTGACTGATGATTGTGGAACGTAGTAAGCACAGTGTGTACCCTGTACCACCTTCGACATTCATGTGCACCGATTTGAATCATCACAGCAGCCGCACCTCGGCAGTGCCCATAGCCCATCGCCGCCGACGGGAAGCACGGACAGCAGGTCGCATGTCCATGCGTTTAGGTTGTAGCATGATCCACCACTGCAGCCGTCGCCATCATCATCATCGCAGCGTGTTGGCCCCATCCGGCCCCTCCAATATAGCAGTCGCCATCGCTCCCGCAGAGGGGCCTACATGGTGAAGCTGTCTCTGCACGTGCCCTTCTTCAAGAGGAACTCGTCGGCGCCCTCGCTGAGATCCCAGGCCGCGCTGCGATGCCCGGCGGCCCTGCGCAGGTCTCGCCGTGGAGGGCATAATCATGTGCACCACCGCGTGCCTCGCCACGGGCACCCTGTGGGCCTCGCGCGGGAGGGTGTGCAGGTCCTCCTGGCTTTGGCCAGGTGGGCGTGCACACCAGGCCACAGGGCTGGACCTCAACGCTGTTTTGCTGGACTTCGGCTGTGTTTTGTTTTTCGTTTTGGCAGAGAGGTACAGGAAAGCAGGTAGAGCAAAACGAACAACAAAACGAACACGAAACGAACAACAACGTGCAGGTTCAGCCCTGCCATGCCAGTGCCCAGGATTCGAAGAAATGCCAGCACGCAAGCGCAAGATACCTGGCGCGCGGAGCGCGCCAGGGAGGGGTGCCGCCGGAGCTCCGAAAGTTTACACCTATGCAGTTTGATTTTCCTCTGCAGGTGAGCGACACAAAAAAACGGGGTCGTCTTCGCCGACACATTGGCGAGTAAGCTGCCCGCGTAATGTCGCGCGTAAGCGCCCTCGTCTCCAGTGCACAGCGTGCCGCGCTGGCGGCCCCTCGCAAGCTGCGGCGTGAGGTCGCTGCGCCATCTCGCGTGCGACCCGTTTTTGACCTTCGCTCAGGTGGCCTTGGCCCTTGGCGTCGCTCGGACGTGTGCACTTTTTTCTCGGCGAGGACCATCGAGGAGCATCCTTGATCATTTAGCGAAGAATACACGCGCGAAACCGAAAAAGGCACGGGGAAGGGACGTCCGAGCGATGGCGAGTGGCCAGGCAAAGGCGGTGGTGCTCTGCAGGCCTGCCCCCCCCCTCCGCAGGTCTCGGCCCTCGCTCGCCCCCGACGCGGGCACCGCCGCCGCCTCCGCGGCCGGCGGCGACCTGCCGCCCGCGGCGGTGCAGGCGCTGCCGACGCGACCGGCGGCGGCCTGGGCTGCGGCGGCGACGGCGGCGGCGGCGGCGTCGCCGTCAGCGACGGGGCGGGCGGAGTCGGCGACGGCGTCGGCGACGGCGACGGCGCGGCCCGCGGGCGGCGGCTCGGGGCTAAGGCGGCGGCCTTGGTGCGCTGCGACGCCCAGGCGCCTGCAGCAGGAGGGCAGCGGGCGGCCGGCGGGCCGGCGGGTGCGGACGCGGGCTGGCGCCCATTTTTTTTATTTTTTTACTTGTTTTTTTTTATTTTTTTATCGCGCGCGGCGTCGAGCCCGGCGGCGGCGGCGGCCCCGGGGGTTTCGCGGGGTCTCCACGAAAGAGCCCCAGGTCGCGGTTTGAGGTTGTTTCCCAGACGTGGACGCGTCGGAAGCAAAAGTCAGGACGGGCGTCTTTCTTTTTGCTATTTCTGGCGCGGGGGGGGCCTCGCTGGGCCTCGGTACCGTCAAAAAACGACTCGGGATGAAAAATTGGTCCAGGGGGGAAGGGTGAGATGGGCAACCCACGCTGTGCATCTCTAGTCGTCCCTGCGCACGTCGAGAGGAAAGGGAGGAAGAACGACCTCTGGGGGTCCAGACCTCCAGGGGTCGACGTAGTGAAGAAATCGCGACGTCGGGGGTCTGGGACCTTCCCCAGTCACTCTGGACGCCCGAAATGGGTACGGAAAGAATGGGTACAATGCCCAACAGCAATTCCTGTTCATTTTGAACAGGATTCGCTGTCCGCGCCGCCGCGGCCTGTGTCCATTCGAGACAGAAGGCCGCCGGCCCAACAGCGGCCGCTGTTGGTTTGGGACACCATCTGTTGTTGGGCATTGTACCCATTCTTTCCGGACCCACTTCGGGTGTCCCAAGTCGCGGCTTGAGGCTGCTGGGCATGCTCGTAGATTCCCATCGGCCTGGTAAGCTCGCATGAGCGAGGAGCGAGGAGAGAGGAGAGAGGAGAGAGGAGAGAGGAGAGAGGAGGAGGAGAGGAGAGGAGAGGAGAGGAGAGGAGAGGAGAGGAGAGAGAGGAAGAGGAGGAGGAGAGGAGGGAGAGGAGGAGGAGAGGAGAGGAGAGGAAGGACGAGGAAGAGGCGAGGAGAGGAGAGGAGAGGAGAGGGCCGAGGAGGAGGAGAGGAGAGGAGAGGCAGAGGAAGGGAGGAGAAGAGGAGAGGAGAGGCGAGGAGAGGCGAGGAGAGGCGAGGAGAGGAGAGGAGAGGAGAGGAGAGGAGAGGACAAAAGAGGAGAGGAGAGGAGAGGAGAGGAGAGGAGAGGAGAGGGGAGGAGAGGAGAGGAGAGGAGAGGAGAGGAGAGGAGAGGAGAGGAGAAGAGAGGAGAGGAGAGGAGAGGAGAGGAGAGGAGAGGAGAGGAGAGGAGAGGAGAGGAGAGGAGAGGAGAGAGGAGAGGCTTCTGCCAGCCAGCGGCGCCTCGCCGCGGGCACATATATATGCCTTAAGGGGTGCCCGAGTCGCCCCGGGGCGGCCGTCGGAGACCCGAGGCCTGGAAAACCGAAGCCAGGTCTCCGGTAGCGTTGTGTTGTGTTGTGTTGTGTTTCGACGACAAAATTAAAACATACCCCCAAAAAAACCCAAGGCGGTCAAAAGATACTCCAAAAATAGCCCCCCGACTTGCTGATTTGTTTTACTATTTTGGGGGTATGTTTCATTTTCGCCAATACATCGTCGATGCATCGCCGATGCATCGGCGATGCGGCGCGATCCTCCGATCGCATCTACTCGGACCCCATCTAGGAGGCCTCTATCCTGGGGAGGAATGAAATCACGAAGCACTCTTGGAGGTCTGCGCGGAGTTCTTGGGTCTGGCGCCATGTTGCGCCCGCTCCAGTGCCCCCCCATGCGTCGGTTTGTGTTCCTCCGTGCGCCCCAGCAGCAGGGGGTACCAGCCCGACCCCGGCAGAGCGAGGCGTCTTCGTCCTCGGCGTCGTCGGCGCCGCGGTCGTCGGCGCTGTGGCGTCGGCGGCGGCGGCGGCGTCGGCGCCGTCGTCGTCGAGAGTTTCGGGGTGAGCGTGGAGCTCCCCCCAGCAGGCCGACGCCGCGCTGGCCGCCGCCCGCGGCGGCAAGGGCAAAGGCAGAGGCAGGGGTGCTGCGGCCGCAGTCGCGGAGGTTTCCACCGCCGCCTCGACGGCGGCGGCGCGGCGGCGGTGCCGACGTGTGCGGAGAGGAGGAGGAGGAGGAGGAGGAGGAGGAGGACGAGGAGGAGGAGGACGAGGAGGAGGAGGACGAGGACGAGTTGCCCGTTTGGCGACGGCCGCAGCGTCGCCGTCATCCTCGTCGCCGTGGTCGTCGCCAGCGCCCCTGCCGGCGGTCACCGTCCTCGATCGTCCTGGCCCCCGTGCTGCCCGTGCCCGTCCTGACGATCTCCGTCGTCGCCTGCCGTTTCTGGGGGCCGCCGCCCGCCGCACTCGCTGCCGCCCTCGTCCTCGCCGCCCTCGCCCCCTCCGCCAGGGCCAGGGCGGGGCGCCGGGTCCGCCGCCGCCGCACGAGGCCCCCCCGCCGCCGCCCGGCACGGGCGCGCCGCCGCAGCCCAGCGAGGGCGCACCGCCGCCGCCGGGCAAGGGCGCGCGCCGCCGCCCGGGAATGGGCGGCCGTCGGCCGCCCGGCAAGGGCGCGCCGCCGCCGCCGCCCGGCAAGGGCGCGCCGCCGCAGGCCGGCAAGGGCGCGCCGCCGCTGCCCAGCATCGAAGAAGAACAACCGCCATAACACACGACAAGCTTGTGGCGCTCCGCGCGGATGTCTCGGATCCGCGCCCGAGGCCCCGCCGGCGGCGCCTCAGGCGCGCGCCTCCGGCGCCGCCCCTGGCGCGCCCCCCTCGCGCCAGGGAGGGGGGTTTTGGCGCGGATCCAAGAGACCCGCGCGGAGCGCCAAAAGTTTATGTTTTTGCTTCGGTCGGGCATGCCCTCCTAGACGCGGGTATGGGATCACAAAGCATAGATAGCAAAAGTAGCCCCAAACACAGACATAGGAACATCGTCCCCAGACTATTTTTGGACTATTGTTGAACACCCCTCCTGCAGAGGGACATGCCCGACCTACGTTGATGGCGTTTTTTTCTCTTCCACAGCAAGGGCGCGCCCCCGCCGCCCGGCAAGGGGGGGGCCCGGGGCCCGCCTCCGCCCGGCAAGGGGCGCTCGGCGCCGCCCGCCGCTGGCAGGCTCGCCTGGGGTGGCCTCGTTTTTCCGAGCGCCCCGCGCCGCGCGCGAGCCCTGCCCCCGCGGATCCTCGAGGGGATCATCTGTTTTCGTTTGTTTGTTTGTTTTATATAAAATTATCCCGGCAAAGCAACCTAACAGCGATGTGTAGGAGCATATCTGGAAGCATTCCCCTTAAGATTCACATGAGAATCCAGTTGTAGAATTCTGCTGTTCTCGCAGTCGTAGTCGCATTCGCGATGATAGTCGCAGTGGCAACGGCAGTCACAGTCACAGCCTCAGCCTCAGCCTGCCTCAGCCTCAGCCTCAGCCTGCCTCAGCCTCAGCCTGCCTCAGCCTCAGCCTCAGCCTGCTTCAGCCTCAGCCTCAGTCTGCCTTCAGCCTCGGCCTCAGCCTCAGCCTGCCTCAGCCTCAGCCTGCATCAGCCTCAGCCTCAGCCTCAGCCTGCCTCAGCATCAGCCCGCCTCAGCCTCAGCCTCAGCCTGCCTCAGCCCGCAACGTTGCGGCCTGAGCGCTTCAGCTCAGCCTCAGTCTTCCCCAGTCCCTCGGCTCAGCTAAGCCTCTGCGCGGTTCGAGTGCCCTCAGGCAGACAAAGCATCAGCCTGCCTCAGCATTCAAAATAGTCGGCCCGGGAATGGGAGTATCTGGACTCGAAGAAACAACGAAATGTGGCCTTTTTTGCTTTTTTTTTTTTTCTTTACTTTCTTTTTTTTTTTACAGTTTTTTTTTTTTTTTCTTTTTTATTTACTCTTTTTTTTTTTTTTTATTTTTTTTTTTTTTTTTTTGTATTTTTAGTTATTTACAAAGTTGGCTCCGGGCATTCAAAATCATGCCCAGGAATGGAGTTCTGGGAACTTGAAGAGCACGAAGTGCCTACAGTTGGCTCCGGGCATCCAAAATGTGGCCCGGGAATGGAGTTCTGGGAAATCGAAAAGCACGAAGTGGCCTACAGTTGGCTCCGGGCATTCAAAATGTGGCCCCGGGAGGGAATGGAGTTCTGGGAGGTTCCGAAAGAGCACGAACGTGGACTTTCTTAGGTTTTCTTCCTTTTATTCAGTACAATGGTTTTCCCGGCATTCAGAATGTGGCCCGGGAATGGAGTTCTGGGAGGTCGAAGAGCACGAAGTGTGTGACTGTTTGCGAAAAAACGCATTCGGACACGAGTTCGGACACAGCTCCCCGGGTCCCGCCCCGACCCCCCTGTGGAGTCATCTGCTGCTCTCTTTTGACACCATTAGAAACCTATCAGCAAAAGCTGTTAGGTAAAAAAGTTCGGGCAAGCTTGCTTGTGTGAGTCGCCCCACCCCCCCCCCCCCCCCCCCCCCCCCCCCCCCCCACCCCCACCCCGCTCCTCTTCAGATGAACACTGGCGCGCGGGTGCCTTCCGACTCGCGTGGCTTCCGCGCGTGCAAGTCGTTGGCGGCTTGCTTCAGGTTCAGGCCTCCCCCCGCTCCGTGCATCACCGAGCGCGTTCCACTACTTGGAAAGTGCCTACTCGCAAAAACGTCCGAAGAACACATGTCCGCTTTGATGCAATGTATCGTAGATCCTCCGCGGGGGATCCAGGCCATTTTCGAGTAGCTATCTTGCGAGTCGTGGACCGCGATCCTCGCAGGTAAACTTGCCGGAGTCAAAACAAAACAGCTCGGGAGGAACCGCCTGCACCAGCAGAGACCGTCGGAACACCCCGAGAGCCCCGCGCGGAGTGCTCGACACGGCGCGGAGGCCCCCCCCCCGGCGGCGCCGCACCGCCCGGGCGCGCCCCGCGCGCCGGGGACGGGCGGGCCCGTCGCCGATCCGAGAGACCCGCGCGGACCTCCGGCGGGTTGCAGTCGACCTGGATCGGCAGGTCGACCCTGCCCAAGCAGTGGTACCCCTCGCGTCCTGTGTTTCGCTAGGGGGGAAAAAAGTGGCATAAACATAAAAACTCGGCGGTCCGCGCGGATTTCTCGGATCGGCGCTGGGGCCCCCCGGCGGCGCCTCCGGCGCCGCCCCTGGCGCGCTCCGCGCGCCAGGGAGGGGGGTCCAGCGCCGATCTGAGAAATCCGCGCGGTTCTCTGAGTTTTTATGCTTATGCCACTTTTTGTTCCCCTATTCGCGACCCATGCCTCGCAGATTCCTGTGGCAGTGTGGCCCCGGGAAGGGTCTCGTGTCCTCTCGCGCGGACCTCCGACAGGTGAGCGGCGCAAAAGACGGGGTGGTCTGCGTCGACATGGGCGCGTGAGCTGCCCGCGTAAGGTCGCGCGCAAGCGCCCTCGCTACCAGTGCAGCGTGCCGCGCTCGCAGCCAACGTATGCCGCGGCAATTGGTCTCTGCGTCACCTCGTGTAAGGTCCCTTTCTGATCGTCGCTCTGGTGATGTTTTCTATAGTTTGTTCGTCTTCCACTGTCCTGTGTCTCTCGACCCATGCCTCCTACATTCCTGCGGCAGTGTGGCCATGGGAAGGGTGCCCTCTCGCGTGTCCAGTCCAATCAATCGAATAGAGGACCGACTACATGATTGATTTACTCCAAATGTGACTCGCTCTCCGAAGGTGCCAGCAACGCGAATCATGTGCCTAGATCCACGGGAAATTAATTAGGTATACGTAGCGCCGTAGGTTCGGCTGGAGTTCCAATCTTGCGGTCGATCGATTCTGTGGTCGATCCCCCACCCGAAGCGAGTCCGACGGCGTGCTCTCTGCCGTCTGCCAGTCTTCCGCTGGCCCTGCGGGTCCAGACTCCGCGGGTGGCCTCCAGCAGGGAGCCTCGCCTCCGAGAGGCGGGCAGCATGCTGCCTCCCCTCCTCGGCGAGGGCTGCGTGAAGGGAGGAAAAGAAACACCCAGACTCCTCCTCTTCCTCCTCCTCCTCCTCCTCCTCCTCCTCCTCCTCCTCCTCCTCCTCCTCCAGACCCCGACCACTGGGCGTTTACTGCATGGCCCTGGGCGCTCACTGAACAGCCCTGTCCTCGTCGATTCCTGCCTGGGGCGCGTTTGCGAAGCGGCTTCGCTTGTCGGGCTGCCTATTGTTGTGGGGGTGGATCTTCTGCCCTCGACAGCAGAAGACGCGCGGAAGCAGAACGCGGGCAACGACCCGTCTGGCGGAGGCCCGCGGAAGGCTGGCGGACGTAAGCCATGCCTCCCCGTGGAGATGCCGACCTCGTGGACTCCGGGCTTCCAGAGCCAGCCGCGTGAGCGCCGCGAAAGCATCGTTCGAGTTCCGGTGGACTGAGGATGAGGTGGGCAGCCTTCGGAGGAAATGCCCCGATTTTGGACAGAGCTGGGGACCCCTAACCCTCGTGTTTCTTGCCCTCGCCTCTGCGAGCAGTGCCGGTGTCGAGAGTGTTCTCCCGCGCGTGTTCGTGCTCCCGGCCCTCCGTATGGGGCTCGCTCGGTTGCGGGCTTCCTTCAGACGATGAGGCCCGCGGGCGCTCGGGAAGGAGGAGGAGGAGGAGGAGGAGGAGGAGGAGGAGGATTGAGGAGGAGGAGGATGGAGGAGGAGGGAGAGGAGGAGGAGGAGGGGGATTGAGGAGGAGGAGGATGGAGGAGGATGGAGGAGGATAGAGGATGGAGGATGGAGGAGGAGGTTAAACGATAAGGAGGGGGTCTGGGGAGGAGGCGGGGGGAAGGGGCAGGACGGCGGGCGGCGACGGGCCCGCCCCCCCCCCCCCCCCCGGGGGAGCCTCGCGCACGGCAGGGCCGCGGCGGCGGGCGCCCCCTCGCGGGAGGAGAAGGCGGCGTGGGCAGGCAGGACGAAGAACAACCTGCGCTGGCAGCGGAAGCTGGGCGTGCAGGAGCCACCCTGGACGCTATTACAAAAAATCAAGACGGGAGCTTTTTCGCAGAATTCGGTAGGGGCCCTCGCTGGGCCTCGGGGCCGTCAAAGAACGACTCAGGATGAAAAACCGGTCCTGGGGAACGATTCGAAGCTTCCGGGGACCCCGTATTGAAAAAATCACGACATCGGATCTCAGGGTTCGCGTCGTGAGAAAATGAGGACGGGGAGGCTTTTCGCCATTTCTGGTCTCCAGGGGCCCTTCCCGGGCCTCGGGGCCGCCCAAGAACGATCCAGGATGTACCGGTCCGCGGGAGAGGGGCCAGACTTCTGAGGGTCACGTCCCCAGACATGCAACGTCCTGATTTTTGCAGGACGGCGTCCCCAGAAGTCCAGACCCTTTCCCCGGGGCCGGCTTTTCATCCTGCATGCGTCGTTTTTTGACGGTCCCGGGGGCCGGCGAGGGCCCCCAGGGGCAGAAAATAGCGAAGCACCTCCTGTCGTGTTTTTTGTTCATTGCCCGAGGGTGTCTGGGTCATGAACAAATCATGACGTCGGGGGTCTGGGCTCGCGCCGTGGAGCAGCAGCAGCAGCTTGTGCCAGCGGCGAGGGCGGGCGCGCAGCGCGTCGGTGTAAAGCCGGCGGGCCGCGTTGGGGCTGCTGAAGCACGGGGCAAGCTGGGGTATACATAGTCTGGGGACGCTTGTTCGATTATTCTACAGGCTTACGCCACATCCGCCGACCCCTTGTTTTTACTGCCCGGGCGGTTGGGATCATTTCGGGCGCCACCTTCAAGGCTTGCCTGGAGGCCGGTGTTGGAGGTCGGCCTGCTCAGAGAAAGAGGAGGTGTAGGGGGAGCAGGATAGGCGGTGGAGGAGGAGTGGGAGTGCGAGAGATGCGGCGAGGCCGCTCCTTGTCACGATCTACTCCGAGAGGGCCTGGCCAGAGAGGCCCCCAGAGTCAGGAACGGCGCTCTCGCCCGAGACGTCCCTCTAATTCAAAGAAGCTGCTGGGGGCCCTATTGCAACAAGAAGGGCTCCCGCTTCACGCATCCTCACGATTGATTCAGAGCCACCCTCGCCAGAGAGGCCACGGGCCAGGGCCTGTTGCTCCGCCCGGAGGGATGGTTCCAAATCACGTTTTCGCGGCGTACGCATAGTTTGGGGGTGTCGTTGTTCGACAATTGCTACTACTACTACTACTACTACTACTATTACTACTACTACTACTACTACTACTACTACTACTACCACCACCACCACTACTACTACTACTACTACTACTACTACTACTACTACTACTACTACTACTACTACCACCACCACTACGACTACTACTACTACTACTACTACTAATACTACTACTGCTACTACTACTACTACTACTACCACTACCACTACTACTACTACTACTACTACTACTACTACTACTACTACTACTACTACTACTACTACTACTACTACTATTACTACACTACTACTACTACTATTACTACTACTACTACTACTACTACTACTACTACTACTACTACTACTACTACTACTACTAACTACTACTACTTACTACCACTTGCTACTACTACTTACTACTACCACTACAGCTACTACTACTACTACTACTACTACTACTACTACGACTACTACTACTACTACTACTCTACTACTACTACTACTACTTAATGTAACTACTACTACCATACTACGAACTACTACTACTACTGCTACTGCTACTTACTACTACTACTACCACTAACGACTACTACTACGACCTACGACGCTACTCTACTATACTATACTACTATTACGACTTACTACTACTACCCTACGACTATCACTATTACTGCTACGCTATGCATAGTGCTTACTACTACTACTACTATACTACTACTATAATACTACTACTAATACAGTACTACGACTACTTATACTGTTACTATTGTTAATTACTACTACGACTACTACTACTACCACTACTACTACTACTACTACTACTACTACTACTTTTACTACTACTACTACTACTACTACGTCTACGTCTACTACTTCGACTACTGCTACTACTACTACTACTACTACTGCTACGACTACTACTACTACTACTACTACTACTACTACTACTACTATTGATACTACTACTACTAACACTACTACTACTTCTACTACTCCGACGAGAAGTACTACTACGACTACTACTACGACTACGACTATTAGTACAACTACAACAACTACTACAACAACAACTGCTACTACTACTATTTCTACTACGTCTAATACTACTACGACTACCACTACTACTACTACTACCACTACTACTACTACTACTTCTACTTCTACTACTACTGCTGCTACTACGAATCGTGTTCTTATCACTGATAGTAGTAGTACTACTACTACTATTACTATTACGACTAACACTACTACTACTACTGCTGCTACTACTACTACTACTACTAGTACTACCACTAGCATTAATACTATTCGATCATATCTACGATAAACACAACTATTATTACTTCCATGTTTTGTATTGTTATTAGTACCACTACTACTGCTACGACTACTCTCACTATGCCTAGCATAACCACTATGACGAATACTACAAGTATCACTACTACTACCACTACTGTTGCAGCATCAACAACAACAACAACAACAACAATCATTTTACCCGAACGCTCAGTGTTCTCACCAGTGCCAGGGTTTTCATGCGACGCGAGACAATACCCCCACTTCGTGGGGGGGCAGTTCAAGCTCTACCAAATATCCAAACGACTCTTCGCGACCACCCAAACCCAGCTTCCCGCCCTATGACGTTGGGACACTTCACTTCGTGGCGTGCGGACGACCGTGGCTACTACACTGGCGTGGGGTACACACCCACAGAACTTGGTCACTTATTCGGGGCGCGCGTGTGCCCAGCATCCTGCAATTGTGACATACAATACATGACACAGACAGACAGAGAGAGAGACAGAGAGCAGACAGAGAGAGAGACAGAGAGAGCGGAGTTGGTCACATTTTTGGGGCAAGTTCCTGAGATCGTCGTGTTTTTTGTTGGTCTTGCGCGCGCGAATGTCCACTTTACTTTTTTTTGCAAGGGAATTGAAATTTGATTATGTTAGAACAAGAAAAAGTAGCTCGCGCGAGCTCATGTAACATAAATGTTGAAAAACCATTGGTTTTGTGGGAGTCGGACAGCGCGCGCGGGATGAAATTTGGACATTTTTTTTTGAAAAACCATTGGGTTTTTGATGTTTTTATGTTGAAATCGTTACGAAACCTAAGGTTCTGGAAGGATTTCGTCTTGCGCGCGCGAATGTCCACTTTACCTTATTTTTTGCAAGGGATTATTGAAATTTGATTATGTTAGAACAAGAAAAAGTAGCTCGCGCGAGCTCATGTAACATAAATGTTGAAAAACCATTGGTTTTGTGGGATTCGGACAGCGCGCGCGGAAGGACATTTTGACAATTTTTTCTTAAAAAACCATTGGGTTTTTGATGTTTTTATGTTAAAATCGTTACGAAACCTAAGGTTTTGGAAGGATTTCGTCTTGCGCGCACGAATGTCCACTTTACCTTATTTTTTGCAAGGGATTCTTGCAATTTGATCAAGTAAGAACAAGAATTTTCATTTTATAGTGTTTTTTGCAAGGGAAAACGGATTACAACAAAACAACCGGATCCGGTGACAATCCACTTTTCTGAAGCTTTCGCTAGAAAATGAAGGAAATGAGGCTGCGGCCTAGGTTTTGGAGGGGGGTCGCGCACCAGGGGTCTCAACAATAATATTTCTTTAGAAGTAATAATATTCTACTACTACTACTACTACTACTACCACGGTTACTACCCGTAGTACTACTACTATCATTGCTATTACGACGCCTACTACAATTAGTACGAGAAGTCGTAGTATCATTAGTAATGCCAGTATTGCCACTACTACGGCTACCACTATTATTTCTACTACTACTACTGCTGCTGTTGCTGCTGCTACTACTACTACCAGTACTACGATTACAAGTATTACCATCCTAGTATTACTCATAGTATTAGTACAACTTCGGGTACGATTACTACTGCCTACTACCACTATGCTTCTACTACTACGACTACTACTACTGCTACTACTAATTGTACTCTTACTCTTACCACCGACTACTACTACTACTCCTACTACTACTATTACTACTACTACTACTACTACTACTACTACTACTACTACTACTGCTACTGTGCACCGACTGCTACCAACAACTACGACTACTGATGTTGCTACTAATACTACTACCCTTGCTGCTATCACTGTTGTTTTTACTACTACTACTACCACTACCACTACTACTACTCCTACTACTACTACTACTACTACTACGACTACTACTACTACTACTACTACTACCACTACTACTACTACTACTACTACTACTACTACTACTACTATTAGCACTACTATTACTACTACTACTACTACTACTACTACTACTACTACTACGGCTACTACTACTACTACTACTACTACTACTACTACGACTACTACTACTACTACCACTACTACTGCTGATACTACTACTACCACTTCTGCTTACTTTTTCCTGCTGTCTACGTATTCTGTGTTACTAAGTACTTCCTTCGGGGGCCTCGGGCTCTTTTTGGCAGTAGTAGTAGTAGCAGTAGTAGTAGTAGTAGTAGTAGTAGGAGTAGTAGTAGTCGTAGTAGCAGTAGTAGTGGTATAATTAGCAGTAGTAGTAGTAGCAGTAGTAGAGGTAGTAGTAGTAGTAGTAGTAGTAGTAGTAGTAGTAGTAGTAGTAGTAGTAGTTCTACTAGCAGTAGTAGTAGCAGTGCTGGTAGTAGGCGAACTACTACTAGTCATGGTACCAGTAGTAGTAGTAGTAGTAGTAGTAGTAGTAGTAGTAGTAGTAGTAGTCGTCGTCGTCGTCGTCGTCGTAGTTGTTGTTGTTGTAGCAGCAGTCGTATTCGTAGTCGTAGCCGTAGTGGTAGTCGTAGTGGTAGTAGTAGTA